GCATTTGATCGCTCTTATATTTATATATATATATATATATATATATATATATTGATGATTGTAAACATAATTCATTTTTATTTTTATATAATAGAGTCATCCAAGTAAGATAACATTGTGAGTAAAACCTCATGAATTGACACAATTAATCTCATCCTTCTTTCTTATACATGTCTCATTATTCCAATATTTCAATCTCTCATCAATGTGGGATATCTCAAACTCAACATCATGAGTTGACACAATTAATCTCATCATTCTATATATATATATATATATATATATTGATGATTGTAAACATAATTCATTTTATTTTTATATAATAGGGTTATCCAAGTAAGATAACCTTGTGAGTAAAACCTCAAGAATTGACACAATTAATCTCATCCTTCTTTCTTATACATACCTCATTATTCCAATATTTCAATCTCTCACCAATGTGATATATCTCAAACTCAACATCATGAGTTGACACAATTAATCTCATCATTCTTTATTTATACACACTTCCTTATTCCAATCTTTCAATTTTTCACCAATATGGGATATCCCAAACTTCAACCACAATTCACCAACACCTTAATATTCAATTTTCATGATATCACCTCAATACTTTTGGTTCTTCTTTTATGCCACCTCAATATTCTTGGTTCTTCTTTTAATATATATATATATATATATATATATATTAATTCAATCTCTCATCAAAGTGGGATATCTCAAACTACTTCAATACCCAATTCTCATGATACACCTAATTACCTATTGATTCTTATTTTAATATATATATATATATATATATTGATGATTGTAAACATAATTCATTTTATTTTTATATAATAAGATTTGTTTTGTAAAAATAGGGTCATCCAAGTAAGATAACCTTATGAGTAAAGCATCTTGGGTTGACACACTTAATGTCATCATTCTTTCTTATACACATCTCATTATTCCAATATCTCAATCTCTCACCAATGTGGGATATCTCAAACTCAACCTCATGAGTTGACACAATTAATCTTATTCTTCTTTCTTCTTTCTTCTTTCTTATACACACCTCCTTATTCCAATATTTCAGTCTCTCACCAATGTGGGATATCCCAAACTCAACCACAATTCACCAACACCTCAATACTCAATTCTCATGATACCACCTCAATACTCTTGGTTCTTCCTTTAATATAGATATATAGATTTATATCTAACAAAAAAACATAATGACAAAAAATATAGTAGTGGATATTTAGAGAATGAAAGAGAAAAAAGAAAAATGAGATTCTAGGCTTTAGGAGAGGTTACCTCAAACACTCATGGTTTCTCCTTTAATATCTATATAGGGGAGCGATCAAATGAAAACCGCTCAATTTGTAAAACCGTAAAAACCTCATTCTACCAATCATAATTTTTCATTTTGTTCATTTTTTCGTAATTATAAGAGGTTGATTAATCATTTTTATTGTGAAAGATGTTAATCATGGATATTATCATCTTTATTATTTTAATTTTAGATAAATACATGAAACAATTTCATTAAAATTTCATTAAGTAGTATATGAAACAAATTTATAACCATATATGAAACAACTTCATCAAAAAAAGTATTATATGAAACAATTTCATAAGATTAAACAATTTATGAAAAAATTTCATAAGATTACGATGGATGAGAGTAGTTTTTACGGTTTTTACAAATTGGAGAGGTTTTCATTTGATCGCTCATCTCTCTCTCTCTCTCTCTCTCTCTCTCTATATATATATATATATATTGATTACCAACATAAAACTTTAAACAATACTGTAGGTATGATGTCCAAATACTTTTGATGTTTCATATATGGAACAACAAATTGATAATTAAAACTTGAAACAATATAGGTCATTGAAATATGATATGTAGGTCCTTAAGGATGTGATATGTTGTTTCATATATGAAAGAATCATGCACAATGAAAAGATTTAGTTGATTAAGCACATGCTTTGCTATTCAAATCTTCTGCTACATTTATTAAACATTGAAAAACCTCATAATAGTGTAAAAAGACTATACATAAAAAGTAGTTTCATATATAAAATATATGAAAATAATGATAATTACCTACATAAGAGTTTAAACAATATTGTAGGTATGTTGTCTAAATACTTTTGATGTTTCATATATGAAACAACAATGCATAGTTAAAACTTGAAACAGTATATACGTCGTTGAAATTTCATGTGCAAATATCTTGAGGATGTGATGACATGATGTTTGTTGTTTCATATATGAAACAACCATGCACAATGGAAGGATGATAGTTGAAAAAACACATGTTTTGGTATTCAAAATTTCTATTACATTTTTAAACATTTTAAAAACCATATAACAATGTAAAAGTTATAGATAGAGCATTGTTTCAATGGTTTCATACATGAAACAATGATGTCCACGATGATATATTTTTTTATGTTTTTGTTAGTGCAAGACTGTAGGTGATCAAAATCATACTATGAAATAAACACCTTATGGCTCAAAGTATTGGATTCCTATAGATATAAGGTTTTTTTCAATATCAATTAGAAAGAAAACCTTCTTAGCTTGATCTACTCCCTCAGTTAGACCTTTGACACACACACACACATATATATATATATATATATATATATATATGGTTGGGTTCTGGTGAGAAAGGAAGTTATAATAAGAAGCGTAAAAAGAAATCTCTACTCTAGGATCAATCCTAATTGAATGTCAACACTAATGAGGTGTACCGAGATGCACCAAATCGATTCCCTTTTAAATCGCAATTCATGGGTGGGAATGTAATTAAAAGTGATCAAGAGTTTAGATAATTTTTACACTTCTTACTATAACTTTCCTTCTCACATGATCCTTCGCCTATATATATATATGATTGAATTCCAATGATAAGAGAAGTTATGGTGAGAAGGGTGAGAAGGGTAAGAAGAGATCTTCACCTTTGGATCAATCCTAATTAAATGTCAACACTAATGAGGTGCACCAAGATGCACCAGATCAGTCCCCTATCAAGCGTGATTAATGGGTGGATTGCGATTAAAGGTGATGAAGGGTGAAGATCCTTTCTTACGCTTTCTCAACATAACTTCCCTGCTCACACGATCCTTCACTTATATATATATGGTTGGATTCTGTGAGAAGGGAAGCTATAGTGAAAAGGATAATAAGAGATCTCCACCCTTAGATCAATCCTAATTGAACGTCAACACTAATGAGGTGCACCGAGATGCACCGGATCAATCCCTATATCAAGCGTGATTCATGGGTGGATGAGATTAAAGGTGATCAAGAGTGGAGATCCTTTCTTACGCTTTCTCAACATAACTTCCCTTCTCACATGATCCTTTGCCTATATATATATATATATGGTTGGATTCTGTGAGAAGGGAAGTTATGGCGAAAAGGATAAAAAGAGATCTCTATCCTTAGATCAATCCTAATTGAATGTCGACATTAATGAGGTGCACCGAGATGCAACAGATCAATTCCATTCTAAAGCGCAATCCATGGGTGAACATGAGATTTAAAGTGATCAAGGGTTCAGATCTCTTCTTACGCTTCTCACCTCTCACACGATCATTCGCCTACACACACACACACACACACACACATATATATATATATATCCCTTAGATGCACATTGGAATGGGATGCATTGAGATGCACCAGATCAATCCCCATATCAAGCGTGATTCATGGGTGGATTGAGATTAAAGCTGGTTAAGGGTGGTGATCCCTTCTTACGCTTCTCACCTTAACCTCTTTCTCACACGATCCTTCACCTATATATATGGTTGAGTTCTACTGAGAAGGAGAGTTAAAGTGAGAAGCGTAAGAAGGGATCTCTACCCTTGGATGCACAATGAGATACATCAAGATGCACCAGATCAATCCCCGTACTTCTTACTCTTCTCACCTTAACTCCCCTTCTTACACGGTCCTTCGCCTATATAGATATGGTTGAGTTCCTGTGAGAAGAAGAGTTAAGATGAGAAGCGTAAAAACAGATCTCCACCCTTGGATGCACATTAAGATGAGATGCACCATATCAATCCCCGTATCAAGCATGATTCGTGGATGAGTTTGAGATTAAAAGTGACAAGGATCTAGATCCCTTCTTACGCTTCTCACCTTAACTCTCATTCTCACATGATCTTTCGCCAATGTATATACACACACACAATGAACAATTCAAATAAGAAAGCTAAAATATTGTGAGAAGGTAAGAAGAGAATGTTAATGAAAGGTTTATATGTGAATCATTGAAAAAATCAATTTGAAGATGCATAAGTGAACCCATATAAATAGTTTATAACGTCGGTTCATATATGCATCTTCAAATATATTTTTCAGTAGATTTTACATATGAACGTTCTCTTAACCTTCCCTAAGAACTTTCTCACGATATTTAACCTTTCTAGGAACCATAGGAGCCACTTTGTTAGGGGAGGTTCACATTCCTTGACAGAATGTACGTAACATAAACATTAACATATGTTAACATACATTATGTTAACGTATATAAGGATGTTAACTTATATTAACCTCCGTTTATAAAGTGGTTCCTACAGGGAAGAAAAATTCGTACACGATTTTGATCTTGATTTTTTTAAAATCCGGTATTTGAGTTGAAGATGTAATTTTGATTTATTTTTGCAATTTTAGGTTTTGATTTACATTGAAGATGTGCTTTAGAATACTGATTTGGTTGTGGCTTCAGACTTTTACAAAAAACAAAACGAAAATTATGAAGACAAAGATGCTAAATGTTGTATATCGTTAAATTTTTTGGACAAATATTGAAACTTATGGACTGAACATAAATATCCAGCAATAGTTGAGGGACAAAAGATGTAACTTACGCCGGTCTCAAGGCAAAGAAGGGCATTTTGGTAATTACGCGTCTATAGAGGGATAACCAAAGGGGCAACGAGGGTGGGTGGGTGGCCAAAGGGAAAGAGAGTCTTGATGTGTTGAGCGCAGAACCAATAATTCTTTCGAGCACAATTTCACATGCTAACAACGTTGGCTCCAAAATTTCTGGTAAATTTTTGAAAAAAACAAGAAATTTGAAAGAAGGGTGTAAAGGGGTTGTTGCGTGGCTCCCGCCATGAGTGCTCAGGTGTTGGAGAGACAACGGAGCTCTTCGTCTTTGCCTGAAGACCATGTAGACAACACCAAGACTCTGATTTGTGCACTTAGTTTCCTTTCTCGCAATCTCCCTCTTCCTCCTGACGTTTTCGATGCTGTCTCCTCCATCTACACCGCCGCCGCCGCTGAAGATGGCGACGATGGTGTTGACTCCGCCGCCCACGGTGGATCTGACGGCGATAATCAAGTGGACGATGCTTCATCGCCTGTGAGTTGATTCTTTTAATCTTTTCATACTGCTGTTTGGACTTTATTTTATTGGGGATTGTTTTGTTGGAATTATATACCCTTTTGATTGTGGATGATTGATGTTGGGTTGGTTTGGGAATTCGCTCTTGTTGATTGAGAAAAAAAATGCAATTTTAGGTTGTCCGCTTCTTTAATAGCTCTTCTGTTACTTGAATTGTGAGGGTTTTCTTAATTTTTATACTTGAATTGCTTATCCCCATTTGCCTTTGATCTATATGTTGTGCTCTTTTTTGTGTGCCTGGCAGCTCAGGTGTAATTATGGTTTGCTCATTGGAAAATATTGCAGTGTAATTGCACCTTACTTGATTCCTAGTTTTACTTTTGTCTACATAAAACTGGTTTTTTCTAGTTGGATCTGTGTGTGGCTTATCAAACATCTTTGGTCTACCTATTGTCTATGCATATATCATTGCACTTTTAGGTTTGATTGCATTATTATATAATGTTAAATGAGACCATAGCAAGGTTACTTGATGTGAGCTTGTGTATTGAGTTACATGTCCTAGGGGTAATAATGGTGTAGGAGTAATGGAAGATAAGAACTTGTATTTGTTCAAGAATTTTGTTCCTCTCTCAGTTTAGGTGTAAGTATGAGGTCTCTATCTGTTATTTTTTGTGCAAGAAAAGTTAATAGGAGCTTTTAGGTTTGAAATCATACAGTACATTGCTGTCTACGTTCAGCTTTTTATTCAACTGTTGCTATTTTTTTCTTGATGAAAAAGGATTCATGAATACAAAGGCTAATTTGAGTCCATAGGTTAAACTTGGAAAACATGTTTGTGTTTCCTTGTGATTTAATTATTGTGATGATATGTGGATTTAACCCCTAATTGATTCAAAGTGATTGTAGGGGTTTTTTCGTTGACATTATTGCTGGATTGCTTGTCTTCTTTCTTCACTTAATTTTTTTTCCAGCCTAGTATTTTGTTCATATCCTTTTTACTTTTATGAGATATTACAGAAGAATGTTTTACGTAGTTGTATCACAAGAGATGTTTTCCTTCTCCTGGAAATTCTTATGAAATGTTGTATGTTATGATGCTCTGAATTTTTAGTAGCATAATCAGGACCTGGGATTTTGCTTGAATATGGTTTGAAGCATATTTGGTCATGTTGATTTCCTTAACTTCAACTGTTGTCTCTGCCATACTGTTTGATATCAGTTTATGATTACAGAATAACCTTCAATTTTCAAATGGAGGAGATTTAATGGCAGACCTTGAGGATGCTCTGGCTACGCGTCAATCTAATCACATAACGGGTGCTGAAATGGCAGAAGCAAGGAAAAATCGGATTGAGAGCCACATCCAGAGTCGCTTGACTCAACTGGCAGGTTGCCACACTCAAGGACCAGCTTTTATATCATACCTTAACATTGTTGAAGAATATTCTGATTTCTTAGTGATATCTATGCATTTAAATGCAATCACATCTGCTGCATAGGGGATCCTTCTTGAGAGTCTTTCACATTTGACCAGACTAACTGATTAGTTATGCTTTCTAGTTTCCCAGATCCTCTTGTTGAATAGAGATGACAACTATCTCTAGAATAACGATGCTATTCTTTTATATGATATTGTATGTTGTCTATAATTTTGCAATTCACACCATATGATGACAGTTGGATGCAAGTTCATAGTCTTAATTGATATCTGATACAAATATATTTTGCATGAATCTTTACTGGCAGGTGGATTTGCTAATAGATTATTATTTAACAACTTAATGATTTACTCATATTTCGTTATCATGAATTCAGAATTGTCTACACACAGAGGTGAGGACCTGCAGTCAAAGTGCTTGCTTGAACTCTATGGACTTAAGGTAGACTCCAGTTTAGAAGCTCTTAGTTTTCTCTTTTCTTGTTTTGTATCTAAAGATCGTCATCTTGACGAGATGGTGGTCTCAATGGGATGTTCAGGCACATCATCTTTAGCATTGGATGTGTGGAAACACTTGGTTGCATTATCATGAAATTAGGGGTTAGTTTATATTATCCATTTGCTATAAACCTTGGTTATTGAAAATGAAAGTGATCTTTTTCGTTAACTGAGGCCCCAACTAGTTTGGGATCAAAGGCTTGTTGTTGTTGGTTCACATTCATGCTATGCTCCCCAGCTGTGATGCTCCTACTGAATTCAATTAAGTTTAGTGTGACATAAACTGAAAGCCACCAAAGTTTTGGGTCACTATCCGTTTAATTAACTACACCATGAAACTAACTAATTTTCAGCAACATTTAAGTCTAGAGTTATGTGCATTGATGCTGTCTTTAGTAGCTCTATCACTGGTGTTCTTATAGTACCATTTAATTAACATGCATTCTATTGTTCAGTGGAACTCCTTCATTCTTATGACATATATCTTACATTCCAGCTAGCGGAGCTGCAAAGAAAAGTGAGGTCAAATGTGAGCTCAGAGTACATGCTGTGCTTAAATTGTGTGTATCCTGAGAAGAAACTCTTTGATTGGGGAATGATGCGGCTGTCTCGTTCTTCATATGGCGTGGGGGATGCCTTTGCTGTTGACTCAGACAACCATATGAAGAAGAAACGTGATGCTGAGGTAATTTTATACTTTGTACTATGTTCTTTTTTACCTCTTCTGTAGTCCTCGAAATCTTGATGGTCCATCTTATTTTCTTTCTGGCATTCTTGATAGCAAGTTTGTATATAGTTGAAAATGTTCTCAAACATGGTATATACGATCTTAGATTAACCAAGTCCAGAAGACCTTACAAACTGAGTTATGATCTTTGATTTAAGAAACAATGACCACATTGCACAAAAGCTTCTTGGTAGTCATGCAATTTTAGTCAATTCCTGTGGGTGTACACCAAGTACACAGCCTTTGGGTGTTCATTTTTAGATCCATTAAAATCAACCTGCCTTGTTGACATGGGTGGATCTGCATCTGCATATATCCATTTTTTCCCTGAATAATCTATCTAATTACCAAATACGTTAACAACCCCTAAGTTTACGAGATCAGTCATAGTCATAAGAAGTGGAGTATAGTTTCTATGATGATCGAAAATTGTCCAGACTGAATTTACACGTAGTCATCAGTGTTTTTAGTTCTGTGGTCATTTGAATAAGCTTTCTATAACAGATCACCTGTATTTGAGGTTAATGTCAACGCAAATGTATGTTATGGGTCATTTTCAATCTTATTGACACCAACTTACTTCTTTAAGGAAACAAACCCTCACTATAGGAAATGTTTTATGATCCATTAATGCTTCATCTGTTTCATAAGACACCATAATAATGATTCATTGTTGTGTCCATCTAAAAGTTAATTTTTGTCATTTGACTGCCATTGAATTTGAATTTGTTTTTAACCGGTGCTTATAATCCTTACATCACGTTCTAACTTAGAAAAGCAATATTATTTTATCTTGAGCTACGCTAGAAATCAACAACCAATATGAAATATCTGATCTTTCAGATCAATAGCAGGTTAACGAGTACACATTAAATTTATGGGTAGTTTTTGACCCAGTCTATTGGTTCCACATGTGGATTTACCCAACCTGATTAATTATTAGGGGTAATCCTTGATGTATATGATTTATGATACTTATTTTTACTTTTTGATGGAAGGGTATTCCGTATTCATATTTCTTAAATGTTTATGCTTCCACACACCATTGCTTGTTGCAGAGACTAACAAAATTGGAGGAGGAAGAAAAGAACAGAGTAGAAACTAGGAAGAGGAAATTCTTTGCAGAAATACTTAATACAATACGTGAACTCCAGTTGCAAGTGCAGGCTGCTCAGAAACGTCGGAAGCAGCGAAATGATGGTGTTCAGGTATGCAGTTTTTTTTTAAATTTTGTATTCATATATATGTATTTACCTTTTACTTCTGCACATAGCTAGATTACTGAACAGAATTGCAGATGATGTGTTTGTCTGCCATGATCTCAACAAAGTGTTTCTGGAATAAAATGAAAAGCTTAATGAATTTTGTGCATATAATTAGGAGTTATTGAGCCATCATGTCTCTATCATGACTAAGTTTATTTGATTCAATCGGCATGTCTCTAACCTGATTAATTTTGTTGCAATATGCTTCTATGCTATTAATATCAAAGAGTATTGAACTCAATTTTTTTTATCTTTTTTTTCTTTCCTTCCTTTTTCTCATGTCTACATCGGATCGAACTGTGTAATTTGTTAAGTAAAAGTCAACATTATTTTTTGACAACCCAGTCGTTTCACATTTATGCTTTAAAGGTTTTCTTGGTTTCTTTCTTGTTTCCTATAAGATTACTATTATGGTAGTTTGCATTGATCGAAATTAGAGGTTTTTCCTCACTTGAATAGTTGCGTTTGATCTCCAACCGAAAATTGAAAAAAGTTATGAAAGAAAAGAATAGAACACACCATGATAGAATATTCATTCATAACAAAATTTCTAGTTTCTTCATGTGCCAGGACCTCCCTGTGACTTTTGTAAACTCTTTTCCGTGACCACATGCTGCACTCAGTGTTGTATCTTATAGGTGTGAAAATGATGGTTTAAAAAGTAACAGTGAACATGCAGCTTTAGGTTTAGGTGAATGTTTGTAGTTTATGCTTCCCAAATTGAAATTTTCGTGTGGTGTCGATTAGGCATGGCATGGAAGGCAGAGGCAGCGTGCTACTAGGCAAGAGAAATTGAGGTTCCAAGCTTTAAAGTCAGATGACCAAGAAGCTTACATGAGAATGGTTGAGGAAAGCAAAAACGAACGGTTAACAATGCTTTTAGGGAAAACAAATGATCTCCTTGTTCGTTTAGGAGCTGCTGTTCGACGCCAGAAAGATGCTGAGCATGATGGTATTGAACCTTTGAATGCACCAGAAGCCGGCTTGCATGATTCGTCTGCTAAAAAGACTGAAACTCCTAACGAATCACTTCCAGATGAGGACGATGATTTAGTTGAGACCAAACTTGATAATGGAGTAAAAACATCCGACTTACTGGAAGGTCAACGACAATATAATTCAGTCATCCATTCAATTCAGGAGAAGGTACACTACTAAATGATGATTCCCTAGCATTCTTTCCGGTATCATTACAAAAGTTTAACTCCTAATAAATTGTGTATCCTACAGGTAACGGAACAACCATCAATACTTCAGGGTGGAGAACTAAGACCTTACCAGTTAGAAGGGCTTCAATGGATGTTATCTTTATTTAATAACAATCTGAATGGAATATTGGCTGATGAAATGGGATTGGGCAAGACAATTCAAACCATCTCCTTAATAGCATATCTCATAGAAAACAAGGGCGTGACTGGGCCTCACTTAATTGTGGCGCCGAAAGCTGTACTACCAAACTGGATTAATGAATTTTCAACATGGGCTCCAAGGTAGGGCACTGTTTAAGTGAAATCATTGATTTTATACAAGATCAATGCTTAATGATTTCATTCTTGTACCAGTATCAGCGCTTATCTTTATGACGGACGTCTTGATGAGAGAAAAGCAATGAGAGAAGAGTTGTCAGATGGAAAGTTTAATGTGCTGATCACCCACTACGATCTTATAATGAGAGACAAAGCATTTCTGAAGAAAATTCCTTGGTACTACATGGTTGTTGATGAAGGACATCGGTTAAAGAATTCAGAATCTGTGCTTGCAAAGACTCTTGTCTCCGGGTATGCTGCAGTGATGTTCTTCCATTACCGCATAGAATATATTAATGAATGTTAATGCTGCTATAGTTAAAACAAATGAGAGTAGTACTCAAGTAAGAATGTAATGATAAAGATACCAAATAGTATGAGATCCTAATCTCTGTTTTCCAATTAAGACAATGCTTAATAGATGAAGTAATTGGTAAGTATGGAATACATGTCTGATAATGTCCTAAATTTAAAGTTTTTTTTTTGGTACATGCAAATAACATGAAAACTCTGTTGGACTGGTTAAACAATATTTTGCAGCTACCAAATTCGACGAAGGCTTCTGTTAACCGGCACCCCAATACAGAATAGTTTACAAGAACTGTGGGCCCTGCTTAATTTTCTCCTTCCCACCATTTTCAATTCTGTTGAGAATTTTGAGGAGTGGTTTAATGCACCATTTGCAGATAGATGTGATGTTTCTCTAACAGACGAAGAAGAGCTGTTGATCATTCGTCGACTACACCAGGTAGGGTTTTTTTTGTTCTCCTATACACTCTTGTTGTGCCATAATGTATTTTGATTCATTTTCTTATACTACAAAATCCAGGTTATAAGGCCATTTATTTTGAGAAGGAAGAAGGATGAGGTGGAGAAGTACCTTCCACAGAAAACACAGGTCATACTAAAATGCGATATGTCAGCATGGCAGAAAGTATACTACCAGCAAGTCACCGATGTTGGGAGGGTTGGAATGGATACTGGTTAGTAACTTTTACCCTATACTGTTTTTGCTGTTATACATTAACTCCTGCAGTTCTTGCTATCTGCCCAAGTATTTAATATAGCATAGGTAAGGCTAGTGTATGACACAAGAACTTCAGATCAAGTACACGATTTAGTTTTGGGTTCGAGAACAGTTTGTTTGAAATTGCAGGAAAAACAATCAATGAGAATTCCAATAACCAACCAATTAACTAAAAATGTTGCCATTTCTACAAATCTGATTAATGAACATAATTTACTAATTTGTAGTTGAGATGCAAAAATATACATGTTATATATATATATATATATATATATATATTTATATAGCAACATAAGCAATTCTGCAAAATTTTATGTTCTGCACCTGGAGTTGATCCCCATTTCTGCCATACATCTTGTAGTATTGTTATGTTATTACAATTGATAAAACATACAGTCTGTAAACTAGAGGACAACTAGAACCCATACTAGTGGTAGAGATTGATGATGCTTAATCTGTTACTTGGGTTTAATTGTATTTTTTTTTTGGAAGGGTGTCCGGGCCAAAGCCCGACTAATCCCAGGCAATTTTGGAGGCTAAACATGGCCCCACTTAAATGTCGCCAACACTTCCCTCCCAGGGCTCGAACTCGGGTTCATGACTATGCCATGCCCAAGCCTTACCACTAGGCTGGAAGGTCTTTGACGGGTTTAATTGTATTACTGTCAGCATTGGCAGCAGGAGAGGGGAATGGATATAGTAAAGGGCCTTCATTGTGGGGCTGATTGCGGTAATTATGGGCAGTAAAATGAACACTCTTTTGGGCTTGATAAAAGGTCTTTTATTTGGTAGCAGGAAAACGGAATAGGCCAAGAAAGGGGGTTGGTTAAGAAAGTAGTATAGATTAGTTAGATTCGTAGAACAGAAGAAGAGCCTGACTTGCAAAGTTTAATATTTTGTGTAGGAGGCCAAGAAACCCAACGGGATGGAGGGGGAGAAAATGAGTTTGAGATGGGTGGCGAACTCAGAGATCCTAGAGGGACTTGGGTGGCAAATTATTGGATTAGAGATATGGAAAAAGGTTGGGAGTATTGGGAAGCTCCAAATGGTTGGACAGGTTATAGGCCCAACCAATACAGCGTACGGTGTGCTTGTAAACTTTAGATGCCTATATCGAGGGAGATGATGTGTTGGGATGGTTAAACCAAGTTGAGTGATATTTCACAATTAACGGGCTGGCTTTATACAGACTCGAAGCTGCAGTTCCTTTGTGGAAGGGGACCCACATGGTATCAGTTGGTCGAGAGCTATTACTAAGTCATGAGATGACAAGATTTCGGGGAACAAGTCTTGGAACGTTCTTAAGGCTCGCAGGGTCAGCTAATGGATAATTTTTTATTGCCCCCAATAGGATAGCACTTATCTTTGAAGATTTGAGTTATTGACAGGGCAAGTTTGGGGATTGCCTGATGAGGCGAAAGAGTTAAATTTTGTTAAAAGATTGAAGGTGGATATCCGTGTGGCATTGAGATTGATGCTTGACTATTACATCAAGCTTTCTAACTAATAACCTCATAAGAGGCATCTGACTCTGCATTAGAGGTAAATGAAATCCTTGGTTACTACCAACAAAGACATGACAACCACTGGCAGACCTCCAGGTAACTCTGCAGCTTCTCCTATTATCACCTTATAAACCTCCTATCTTGTGAAGACTACTACCCTGCAGCGTTGTTGATTTGCTTACAAGATACCCATTGTGATACCGTGAAGAACATCATTCTAATGGACATAACTGATTAGTACAGTTGCAGAGTATGGAATGGTTTGACGAGTAATTAGGCAATTGAGCTTTCTACCCAGCCTCTTATACTACTCTAAAAGCTTCACTATTCTGATTTTCGTGTGAATCAATTGATTTGCATATGATCTTGTTGCAAAAAAGACCAGGAACATATTTTCTCATGACTAAGAGATTATCTCAATCTCTAAAGAAAACTTAAGTTTGCCAAAATCTTTATCATGGAACTGGCTTTCAATCAAACTTTTCAGGTCAGCTATACTGTGACGTTCTTCACATAAACTTCCAAAGGTCAATTAGACATTTTGAAGGCTGAAGACCAGACCAGCTTTGATGATTGTTGGTGGTCATACTAGGTTTGATGTCAAGAAAATTCTAAGCCTCCTTTATATTAGCAGATGTTTGATCGATGTATACCTTTTCTTTATTGAAACGATTCTCTAAATCTTACTTATTTAGTGCCTAGTATAATAGAAACAACAATGGTAGACAAAGGGGGTGTGGCATAGTTGATTCCTAATCTACATGTGTCTAAGCATAGTCTCTAGCCACAAGATGCAGTGAATACTAGAAGCATGTGGCCGGAGAACAGGTGAACTAGCACAAGTCAGGTCTGTGTTTGGTAAGAGGCTGCACTAGTTATCAAAGAATTAGGCATGTCCAGAAAGATGGTCAAGTATGCATGCAAATCAAGGATTGTGATTGTGGTTGAAATATCATAACATATAATGAAAGATCCATCTTTACTATAAGATTACATTTTATGACTACAAGTATGCATTGAGTTCCTAAGCATATACTCGTCTCCGTTGACAACCTTCAACCTCTTTGATGTGGCTCTGGGAAAGAGTTTTGTGTTCCACTAGTTCCTTGGTATATCAGGCATTGTCACAAAGGTCATTCACTAGTTCCTTGTTTTTAAGACTTTGAGCTAAATGCTTTATAATATAACGCGCACGCGTGTGTGTGTGTGTATATTGCGTTTTCAATTAAAGGGATGATTTGGCCATTTGACACTTCAGCTAAAAATCTTTTTTCCATCTGGTCTCTTTTCAACGGGATAAGGATATGTTAATATCTATTGCTTCAACCTTTTCTTTTTCCATTTCCTTTGGGCTAATTTTCTTCATTCATATGCTTTTCTTTTGATCATTAAAAATAGGTTAAGTTAGGATTCCATTAATTGGTAATTAGTTAATTACTATACTAGCATTAGCGTTTTGTTTATCATGTATAATTATAGTTTAGGGTTTCATATTAATGACCGCAAATTTATTAAACGTAGCACTAAAAGATGTTTAGGGTTTTGTTTATGGAACAGCTGAAGTGAAATCAAGGTTTCATTTAATAGTTTAATATTAGGTTTTTTTAACACCATCGTTAAACATTACCCCAAACAAGTTTTAGTTTAATAGATAAAAACAAAAACACATAGATGTTATGAATACAAAACATGACAAACAACAAGTCGTGGTTGCCGATCACTATGAGCTTTTAAATTGCCGTTCTTGGTGATTGCAAATAATTGAAAAGCTAAAAATCTATTATAATAACCAAAATTCTATTTCTGGTCTCAATAAAATCACAAAAACTGCTATTTAAGGTATCCTTTTGAGATTATCATGTTTTTTATCTGTTCGTTTTCCTTTTCTTCTACATGATAATCGGATTAGTTGAGATTTTTTTGCTTATACTAATCAATAATGACTTATTTTCAGGAACGGGTAAATCCAAAAGTTTGCAAAACCTATCGATGCAGCTCAGAAAGTGTTGTAACCATCCTTACCTATTTGTGGGTGAATATAATATTTGGCGCAAGGAAGAGATTGTGAGAGCATCAGGAAAATTTGAGCTACTTGATCGGTTATTACCTAAACTTCATCGAGCAGGGCACAGAGTACTCCTTTTCTCACAAATGACTCGTTTAATGGACATTCTCGAAGTATATCTTCAACTACATGACTTTAAGTATCTGAGGCTCGATGGTTCAACAAAGACAGAAGAAAGAGGCACTTTGCTAAAGCAGTTTAATGCTCCGGATTCTCCTTTTTTCATGTTTCTCTTGAGCACACGTGCAGGAGGTCTTGGTCTCAATTTGCAAACGGCAGATACTGTGATTATATTTGATAGTGATTGGAACCCCCAAATGGACCAACAAGCAGAGGATCGAGCTCATCGTATTGGTCAAAAAAAAGAAGTGAGGGTCTTTGTTTTGGTCAGTGTTGGCTCGGTTGAAGAGGTGATATTGGAGCGGGCGAAGCAGAAGATGGGCATTGATGCCAAAGTGATACAGGCTGGATTGTTTAATACAACTTCCACAGGTTAGTCTGTTTGGAGGATTAGGGACATGAATTAAGAAACCAAAGTATAGAGTAATAACCCCAACTTGGGGAAGTAACAATACAAGAAAGAGAAAGTAAGGTATGTGCCCTACTTTCCAATTCTACCCTTAAATATGAGATAAAAAAATTCATTACCCCCTCTGTTATTAAGGGTAAAATTGTTGTTTAGTTAATAAAAAAGTGTAATAATTACATACGTCTTTTTCATATGAAAAAAAAAACATTTATTTTGGGACAGAAGGAGTATGTTTGATGTCCCATTTCGTCAAATAAAAGCTGAATTTGGTTTTATTTGTTTGCTTTTACAGCTCAAGATAGGCGAGAGATGCTTAAAGAGGTGATGCGTAGAGGTACAAGTTCACTCGGAACAGATGTACCAAGCGAGAGAGAAATTAATCGTCTAACGGCCCGATCAGACGAGGAGTTTTGGCTTTTTGAGAAGATGGATGATGAAAGAAGACAAAAAGAGAGGTACAGATCTCGACTTATTGAAGATCATGAAGTACCAGATTGGGCTTACACCAAACCCGACAACCCAAAGGACATGAGGGGTAAAGGGTTTGACTACGAAACTGCTAATCTCTCTGGAAAACGACGTAGAAAAGAGGTCGTGTATGCTGATACGCTTAGTGAACTACAGTGGATGAAAGCCGTTGAACATGGAGATCAGTACTTGAAACATCACCCAGCTAAAGGAAGAAAGGAACAAATACCTGAAAGCTCCAATACTCGTAACAATGTGGAAGATGATGTGATGGAATTGAAAAACGTAAGTGAACGTGGCTCGGGTTTGACGTTAAAAAGGATGAAATCCCCAAGAAACGAGCATTTGAACGTGGATGATGGAAGTAGTAGTGGTGTTGGAGACTTGCCAACATGGAAGACACATAAGAAAAGATCAATCCTTCGTTATGTCGGGTGATTCTGGTAGAATTTGTGTTTTTTGGGATCCTGACGATGAAAATGTGGTGTTAGAATTATATAGTTTTGTGTTGTAACATGGTGCAATAGGGTTAAGATGGTTTACTTTGAGGCCATTGACAGCATATGGGTTTTTGATGGTGGCCATTATTATTTCAGTGTATCATGTGCTACGCATATAAAGCAGTTCTGTATGATGTCACCCTGTGTTTTTCACTTAAAGGCCAGAATTTACACACAGCTTCAAGCCCGATGTGAAAAGCCTGGTTTTAGTTGGTTTGAACCGGGCCAAAAAGAGCTCGATCCAGCCCATTTTCACATCCAAAGTTCGGTCCTACTCGGCCTTTGTTTTGCTTACGACTTGCGGAAAATGGGTTTGGAAGGTATGGTCCTAAAGCACAAAAGGCTGGTTTTGTGCGTCTCTTTTTAAAATAGGTTTGATTCAGGGTCCCTTTTAATTCATTTAAATAGTATTTGAATTAAAGTCTAGGCAATGATATAATCTCTCTCTTATATAAACTACATGAAATAAAAATAAGTTTCCTTGATTCAAACTAACTCTTTCAATCATGCATTTGTCATTCAAATTGATGGGTGCTTGTTGGCTTATCTCCAAATCCAACCCATACAACACTAAACAAGTGATCTACTTATCCATGAATGTTTTTACAATTCAACCTTGAATGAGTGATAGGAAAGATTGCTATTATTATTTAATAGCTTCCATCATCGGTGTTGGTTTTTTGTCTTAATTTTTCCTATACTCAAGCTAAGATTTTTAGCCTATCATGACTTGAATGAGAAACATTCTTGAAAGAAATTTAATGTGTTAGAAAATGATTAATATGATCTAAAAGGATTTGCCAAAATCCAGGTAGTATGGTGGACTGAATATGTACAAAAATAAAAGAAAATGTCTTGAGAAAGTCTATGTTTGTCAAGAAAATCACCTTGCATAACCATGTTGCCGCATGGTGCATGCTATAATATCGGCTGTTAAAAGCATCCAAAAGTAACCAAAATAGTAAGACAAATAAAAAGTGGGGAAATGATTAATACAAAACATGCACGTCGAAAAGGACAAACACAACTTCTTTGCGGCTTCTATCGTGGTCTTCTTTTCATCTTAATACAACAAAACGAGATTTGATGGTGGTTCTATATGTGCCATATCTTTGTATATACACACAACCACAATATTTTTAAGATATACATATATAGATGGAGATGATCGATGAGTGTGTACGGGGAAGGAGAGGTGTTGTAGTTTTTCACACACACATATACACACAAAGGCAGAAGACGGTGGTTTTGCCACTTGAGGGTCATCGGAGGGGTAGGAAAGGGGATACATTTTTACCAGATACAAAACACTAGAATTAACAGAAGTTTAATCAAGAAAACTTTCGTCCTACTCAATACTCTCCTTAAAACAGTGTATTAGATGAAAATATAGTAAGTTGTATCCCACCATATACAAAACTTTTTTTTTTGACTAAAAAGCCTAGTATACTTATATAAGTCCCTTTCTTCGACAAGTATGAACGGACAACAACACAAGCTCACTCCGGCCTTAACAATGTCCTTTACTTTACTTTCGAGTCACTCAGGAAGAATATAAGTATAACATAGCATCATGTTAAAGAAATTTTCTTTTACACACGAAATTTATAATATTTTTATTAAAGAAACAATATGTACAATATGTGATGGGATTACAATCTTAACTATAATTATACATCTAAAAGACTTTTTAAGGATTTTCCTTTCGGGAAGTCCCCAAAAGATTTCAACTAAGCTAGGGAAGAAGAAAGTACCTTAACTAGATGAAAGCACACTTTATGATACAAAAGCTTTTACATATATTACAATGAGAGAGGCTAAAATTTTAGAGAGGGGTTGTTGGAAAGTATGGAGGCTTTTTCTTCTTTTGCTAAGCCCACAATTAGTTTCAAAAATTAATTTACTATTTGGTTTTAATAATTCTTTATATAAGTAAAGCCCTCCATCCATTTGTTGGGCTTCACTAGGAGAATCTGATTGCACAATATATTTATTGGGAACTAAAGGTTTGTGTATAATACAATTTGAGCACCTTGAATCTACTAAGGCTGTACAGTTAATAATATAACTGTCTAGTCTAACTTGACATTTTACTTTTAAAGTTTTTACGTTTTCTGTATTACATACAACTTGAATATTGTCTAAATTGTGAACGATATCAATATTCCTATACTTCAAAATTGAAAATACTTAACCCTTCCAATATTTCAAGGCATCCATTCTCGTTTCATATACTTAACTGTTTTTCAGTAATTTCTGTTCTTATTAATATGAATTAAGATTCAAGTCAAATTTAACCACAATTCATGATTTGAAAATATGAATTTCTAATTTGTCAAATCAATATCTTATAGCATTATATATTAATTTAATTAATTTAACTTTTAATATAGATTTTTTTTGTAAAAAAAAGATTAGTCAAAAATCCTATGTTAGGAGGGTCAGCCAAATAAGTTAAGCATCACGAGTTTAGAAAATCATTCAAGGGGAGTCAGCCCTATGAATTGCCACAGAGACATCTCAATCTTTCTATATATATATATATATATATATATATCTATCTATCATTCAGTGTCGATCTTTTATCTACTTATCAATATGGGATAGACAAAACTCAATCACAATTCAAGATTAAAGAATATTCAATCTTAGGGTGTCACATTATGGTTGTGGTTCTTACTTTTAAATATAGAAAGAATAAAGATTATATATATAATTAATTTTTAATATTGATTAACCCTTCTTGCAAAAAGAGAGTTGACTAAAATGAACCAACCCCATGTGTTCGGAGGGTCGGCCAAAATGCTCTAACCACATGTGTTAAGAGAATCAACCAAGAGGAACCAACCTCATGAGTTGTCACAAAGGCATCTCGATCTCATATTACATATCCAACATGTCAATCTTTCAACTCTCAATCAGTGTGGGATATATAAAACTCAATCACAATTCATGATTGAAGAATATTCAATTATTAGGTGCCGCATCAACGATTCCGCTTCTTACTTTCAAAAACATATTAAAGTTATCTGTTCAATTAATATTTAGTATAAATTAATTTTTTCACAAAAAAAGGTTGGCCAAAATGAGTCAACCGGCACTACAAGAAAAATGAACTGCAGAGAAGGTATTGTTTTGTATTTAAAAGTCGTAAAAGCTTCTCTAAAGCCTTTAGATAAGCTTTTCAATTTTGTCAAAGAGCTTCTCTGTGTAGCGGTAGGTAAAGGTTTTAGAGAGGGTTTTCGAAGGGTGTGTTTTTGTTAGCCTTTAGAGACACTTATTTGAGGCTTTAGATACACTTTCAAAACTTCTCTAAAGGTTAGTCAACTTTTTGTTTAAAGCTTCTCTAAAATATATATATTAGTGACACTTTTCAGGTATTTGTGACGGTTTGTACGAGTTACTAAAAGATACTTTTAGAGAAGATAATGGAAAAGCTTC